CAAGATTATGTAATTTCCTTTGTTCGTCTTTTTAAAAATTTACTGACATGATAGATGTTTTCTGTCAGTGCAGACATAGTCTGTTAAAATGCAGACAAAACTCCTTTTGTGAAGTGAACGGTTATGTAACTCAGTGGAGGTTTTATTCAGTCTATTCTGCTTAGCAGTTATAAAAATCCTTCTGTTTAAAAATCTGGATTTATTTCAACAAAGTTTATCTCTGAAGTATTTCTGTTTTTTCATTAAAACAAGAGGCCCAGAGGGCCTGTACCGCTCACCTGGATACCTAAGCAATCATGGCAAAATATTTTCCAAATGAGATCAAGGGAATATGCCAGACCCCAAGGCAAATCCTTGTAGCATATTTGTATTAGATTTTTCATGCCCAGCAATTTTATGTATGGTTATGGGGTGGGGATCACAAATGTTTCCAAGCTTTGACTCAGAAACTAAGACCCTAGGGTTGTGGCCAGACCCCAGGATCAATTCTAATATCGTGACTGCATTTGTCTCTTTTTGCCCAGCATTTATATATATAGTTTTGGGGTGGGGATCTCAACCATTTCAAAGTTATGACCCAGGGGTTAAGTCTCCAAGGGTGGGGCAGTTCCCAAGGCAATCCTGGAAGCATATGTGCAATCATTTCTTTATACTCAGCAATTGTATATTCGGTTATAGGGTGGGGCTCTCAATTGTTTCCAAGCTGTGACTAAGAAACTAGGTCCCTAGGGGTTCGGTCAGACCCTAGGGTCTATTCTGATATCATGACTGCATTCGTCTCTTTATGCCCAGCATTTGTATACATAGTTTTCCAGTGGGGATCTCAACAGTTTTAAAGTTATGGCCCAGGGTGGGGCCAGAACCTAAGGCCATCCTAGAAGTAAATGTGCATTCTTCTCTTTATACTCATCAATTGTATACCATGGTTATATGGTGGGGATCTCAACCATTTCCAAGTAATACATTTTTTTGGCCCCACCCCTTAGCCCAGGGGGTCAGCCCCACCATTTGTACAACTTTGAATCCCTGCCTCCCATGAATGCTTTTGATCAAATATGATTGATATCCGGTGCACAGTTCTACAGAAGAAGTCGTTTGTAGCAATATAGCGAAATTGCCCCCTTTTGGCTCTGCCCCTAAGCCCCCTGGGGTGTCAGCCCCACCATTTGTACAATTTTGAATTCCCACCACCTAGGGATGCTACCAGTAAAATTTAGTTGAATTCCAATCAGTGGTTAAGAAGAAGAAGTCATTTAAAGAAATTGTTGACGTATGGACGGATGGATGCCACGGTATAGCATAAGCTCACCTGGTCCGAAGGACCAAGGTGAGCTTATGCCATACTAAGGTGAGCTAAAAATGAATAGTTCCTTGAAAAAGACTAAATCTGAAATATCTTTTAATTTGATAAATCTTAGATAGCATTTTGAATGGGTTGCTCAACACAGTTCTGCCACTTCCGATATTAATTTACCTGGTAGGACTTATTTGCAAAAATGTTACCAGGTGCGTAGTTTGGTAAATTCTGCATTGTATTTAGCAAAGATGTAACAAAACAACCACTTATGCTACGGACATTGCTTCATCTGCAACTGAACAGGAAATATTCCGATTTGAATGCAGAAAATAAATGATAACATTCCCATTGGTCAATTCTTCCTACTATGATAGATATCACTTTTGACATATGTCACAGTATATTAAATATATCACTTTACCCAAGCTGATAAAATCTAATCTCTCACTTGCAATAATGTATTATTTATCATAAAACACCTCACCCAATTTCAATCAATCATTTAAAATATTATGAATGAAATGAGGACATAAGTTGTGATTTATAGTGTGGCAGGTATCAATCTTGAAGGTGATTTTACAGAGATTGACGTAACTTGTTTACCTCTAACTTCGCCCAAAATACTGAGAATTTGTGATGACAGACAACCTGATTCCGCGACATGTGATGTACTAGTTAGTATAGCTTGGACATAACAACTTGTCACTGTCCATCAATACTGAAAACCTTGCCCCGGGACATGTCATTTAATATCCAGTACAACACTTTACACAGAGGGGGCACCAGCATACAAACAGGGGAATAACTGGACGACAAAACAGCCATAACTAGGTAGGAATTGGAGTCATCAGGGTAATAAAGGCATGTTGAGGAACAAGGTTTGTGGGAGGGAGCGACACTGTTATCACATACTGGACAACTGTCTCTTGACAGTCCGCACAGTGTCAAAACAAGATAAAAACCTACGCAAAGCATCACTTAAGCAATTCTCCAAATTACTGCATGTAGATCAGTCTCCCGGAACACCTGTATCACCTGGGACTCCCCCTGGGCAAAGCTTTGTCATCTTAATGCTGGGTTAGCAATAGTGGTGCTTGTTAGTATGTACCACCTCAAAGTCTGTAACAACTTCAACAAATGTAAGACACAGCAGGCTGTGAACCATAAGGTAAGCAGAATCCCCAAAATTTGATTATGATTGGTATATTAAAATATTATCCAATCAGACATTAAAAGTGTAGCACACGGAAGTATCTGTCACATAAAGTGCCATTGTCAAGTATCCTGGACACTACTTCATACACACCCACTGAAAAAAAAACAAGACTTTTGATGGTGTCCGTAGCTACAAAAATCTGGGACTCGACTAGCTGTCTGTAAGTGACCTTCGGACAGTAAAGTCAGCAATTAATCCTAGGGGGGAAAATAAACAGGAGCACTGCCTAGCAGGCAAGTTTTATGTACAGAAAAAACAACAATAACAAGCAACTTCTCTGAAAAAGAAAAAGAAAATCTGTGACAGGTTATGATTTAATTACAGACATTACGGTGAGAACACTGATATTAATGACAACAAGAGAAGAACAAAGGACACTAACCGACAAGTAAAATCTGTAAAATCTGTAAGTGGAATTAGAGCCAAACCTTTTGATCTTTATTTACTGTCATGTAATATAGCTATCAAAAACTCATCTTGGTGAATCCCAATGGGATTTCTACATATTGTTTAAGTTCATTAAGGCATCAGAAAGCCTTTCATCTTCTTGATTCAGATATGGATTAAGAAAGCTGCCTTAATGTTGATGCAGACTTTTGACATTAGAAGGCGCAGCCAATTTGCCGATGCCTCATTCATTAAGACTTCTTGATGTAAGAAAGTTGCGATCTTGTTGACTTATTACTTTGTACTGGGCACAAGTCCAACAAGCAGCATATGAAATCTCCCACAATTATGATCTACTTAAATCAGTTGTCAACAACAAGTCTTTATCAAAATCTGATGCATAAACTTCATGGACAGACTTTGAAAATAATTTTAGCCAGCTTGCATATAAAATTAATTCAAAATTTAGAACTTGTGTTAACCATACACATGTCCCCTGGCAATACACGTATTTTGTATGCATATGTGTCTGGTGTGTTAGGATCTGCCCATACCGAAATAAGTTACAAATAGGTATAACTTTTTTGTACCTTTTCAGTACCTTTTTTGTACTCCTGATAAAAGGTACAAAAAAGTTATAACTTTTCGATACCTTAATTTAAACTTAAACTTTACTAGTGTACCTTTTTGTAACTTCTCTGGACTTTAAAAAATTCTGGTATAACTTTTAGTACCTTTTCTGGACTTAGAAAATAATTGCACTGCTGTTGAAAAACTTTGAATATTTTTGGTATAACTTTTTTGTACCTTTTCTGGACTTAGAAAATAGTTGCAATGCTGGTGGAAAACTTTGAATATTTTTGGTATAACTTTTTGTACCTTTTTTGGACTTAGAAAATAATTGCAATGCTGGTGAAAAACTTTGAATATTTTTGGTATAACTTTTTGTACCTTTTCTGGACTTAGAAAATAGTTGCAATGCTGGTGAAAAACTTTGCATATTTTTGGTATAACTTTTAGTACCTTTTCTGGACTTAGAAAATAATTGCAATGCTGGTGAAAAACTTTGAATATTTTTGGTATAACTTTTTGTACCTTTTCTGGACTCAGAAAACAATGCCAATTCTTGTGAAAAACTTTGTAACTTTAAAGTTAGAACATTTTTGGTACAGTGGAACCCAGTTATTATGTAAATACATATATATATCTGTTATAATGAGATTTTCCCCCATGTACCCATTTTTTCCTTCTTTAACTAGGCAAAAAAATATCATTTATTATTATATGGTCAAAGGTAGGAACCCGCTTATTATGGTGTTTTTTTTCTGCTGTGAATTGATTTTAAAAGTAAGTTGTCCATGTGAAACACCTGGACAATTACGTAATAGGTCCGGCTAACTGTACATCGCCCGAGGTAATCATCGGTCCACTTCAGGTAAATTTTTCACACCTCGCTCCACCCCAGTCAGCGGAAAACAATAGATCGACCATCGCTTGCTGGTCATACATTTTGGTCTTAACAAAACATATGGTGCAGTTAATTGCTGTAGGACTGTATATCAAATTAAAATAATTAGACCTACTGAACACAAATTCCGATAAGACAACGAGCATGCCTTTCACAAATATTCACGGTTACCTTGACCAATCATGTGAGAAAATCATGCCGATTTCAATGAAAATATTACTTCAGAAGGAAGACCTGTGTATTTAATCATTTAAGCAATAGTTTCTCAATTGCATTAGAAGTCGATTTCCCGTGTTTCCGTTGAAAAAGAGTCAAATTCGAGACATACATTTGTAACGACAGCATGGTGCCGGAAATCGTTCCAAAGGTTTTACGTTATTGTCGTAAACAACTTACGACGGCTGCTTGGTTATTGTTACAAAGGGAATATTTTTTGTTTTCAATTATTATGGTTGTGTCCATACTATTTGTATTTAACAATAAATAGTTATGATTAATATGATGTAGGACTTTATCGTTATTGCAGCGACGCCCTATGCGAAAAATTAATCTCGCGTGACTATAAATAGCCTTATCAAATTGGCCAATGAAAAGCGCGCGGGTAAATTTTGTATTCGATCGACCTCTAGATTTTGAACTCTAACCCGGCGAGTCACAAGAAGTAAACAAAATATTGGAACGTGTTTTGGTTAACTGGAAAGACGATACCTACTTCATCATATCCTTGAAGACATTGGAACGTCCGTGAAAGAGCTTGGTATATACGCATTTGCTGATGAAATCCTTCATGAATCCCAGGTTTTCTGGGGAATATCATGGGAAGATCGTCGCCATTTCAGGGAATATTTCAGGTAAGCCATCAATTGTATTTTCATCGAAAGGATTCAATACAAAACGCAGAGTAAACATATCAAATTTATTAAATAAATACAGTACCATGACTGAGACGATGTATATTTTTTTCTTATATGTTTGATCTTTAGAGATGGGCAGATGGCAGTACTATCTGTTAAAAAACACCGATTATTTCGGTACCGATTACATTTTTCGTTTACTGAGCTACTATATTTGTATACAATTCGGAAAGTAGATCTACTTACCAGAATCCGTTTCGGTGTATAATAAGATTTTCGATATTTGTTTATTCTTTGTTCTTCAGGGAAAGGAAGGATATTTCAGTGTGATGTTTAATTTCTAGCTTAATATATACTCAAACCCCGTGCCGAATATATATTTTTCCTGTACAAGTATACACTTTTTCGTTTTTTATAAAGTTAACAAACACATTACAAATATTGAAATCATTATTGGAATTTCTCCTTCATGACATGAAATAACAGAAATTTAAAAGCCAATGCATCTTAATTTCCTATCAATATATTTTAAGATTGAATAATTTCTACTTAAATGGTTGCTTACTTATTTTTTGTTAATCTTAAATAGCTTTGGAATTTCTAAATTTCCTATGATTTTCTTCACCTATTTGAATTGAAACGTAAGAGTACCTAAAATAGAAATGTGAGCAGTACAATGGATGTTGTTTTTATAATCTTCATATATCGTTAAAAAGATTAAAAACTTTTCAAAAAGGAAATTTAAAGAGATATATCTGAATGTTTTTTAAGCAAATGGCATGCAAGTAGCAGGCACTGTTCAACTTCTGCATACTTCATCAAATATTGTTTAATGACGTCCTTTGAAAACATATTGAATTTTATTTCATTTTTTTTGAGTAAAATTTTGAATTCTTTCAACTTGATAAAACTGATATTTATGCTTCTTGTTTTGTGTTATTAAAATAACTTGATATTCCTATGACTTGAAAGGGAAAAAAAAAATTCTTCAAAAATTGAAGTGTGCCATTTTAAATATTCCACAGTAAAGTTGCATGATCCCTCTCCTTCCACACTGCATGTCCTTACCCTGTTCCCTACAGAAACCTTTATGTATAGCTCAGTATATACATCAGTTAAATTAGAGAATTCCAATTTTTTAAATCACATTTTTTTCTAATATTTTCTCTTTTTCTAGATGATAACAAGAGCTGTGCACACTGATGGGGGAAAATACAGGCAGAAACAACAGATGAAGAATTCTCAGCTCCACCTCATGAGTCTGTTATAGAGGTCCATGAACCTCCCCCTCAACCCCCTGCTGCAAAGAGAATCAGTGCCGAAAACAAATCAAACAAAGGTGAGTTCATTGATTTAAGGTACTGATTTTGTGATCTTTTGTTTAAGCTTTTGTAATCTCAGAAGACTCCTCTGTCTTTTGTCTAACCTTATTGAAATTTGACAGCCTTTATATGGTTACAAGCTGAAATAAAAATGGCTTTCTTTTGGAATTTTGATTTCTACAATTATTAGGGCCCCACATCGAAGATGCGGGTATGTTCCCTTATAGTAATCAGGTTGTCCGTCTGTCTGTCCATTTTTTTTCTTTTGTACAATATTGATGGAAGTAAATGGTGTAAGTTTTTTAAAAAATTTACATGATGATTTCCCATGCATCCTAGTTCTGCTTGGTAATATTTCGGCAGATCTGAATCAAAATGGCTGCTAATCAGCCATATTGGATTTTAACATTAAACATTTTTTTTTTGCTCTTAAATTATCGGTAAACATTTTGTAAAGACATCATGAAGCAAAGTTGGTCACAATACAACAAGAAATCAACTTATCGAAGGTCAAAGTCATTGGATCAAAGGTCAAAGTCAGATTTTGTATCTTTTTACTGCTTAACAATTTATTATGACATGATGAAGCAAAGTTGATCAGAATTCAACAAGGAATCAACTGACCAAAGGTCATAGGTCAAGGTCACTGGATCAAAGGTTAAGGTCAAATTTTGTAGCTTTTCATGAATGAGCATTTAATGACATGACTTAATTCAAGATCAATGGTAAAGGTCAAATTTAGTATCTTTTCACTGGTGAACATTTCTTTATGACACTTTTTACTGATGAACATTTTGTTATGGTATTATAAAGCAAAGTTGGTCGGAAATAAAGAATAAGTCAACTGACCAAAGATCATGGTCACTGGGTTATAATTAAGGGTCAAGGTCATTTGGGTCCAATGGTCAGAGACAAAGTGGATCTCTTGACTTTGAACCCGGCTCTTGTTGGGGAGGTATTTAAGGTAAAATAAAACAGATCAAAGCCAACAAATAAGTAATGCACTGGTATTTACATTTAGATAGATTTTGCTATTACATTTATATAGATATTATATACCATTAACTCACAATGAACTGAAAAGCTTTTCATTTTGAATCTCTTTACAACATATTGTAAATATATTAGCAATCCGATCAACTGTTACAATGCTATTGTGTTGTGTCAAGATAAGACATTAGAGGTAAACATGTCTTTAATTTCTTGTTTACTTCCTGCTTGTTTAGGAGACTCATTTTAATTGCAAAATTATATTATTTTGTAAATTGTGTTATTGCTCCTTATCTTGACAGATGGTGGAGCTTATACCTGGGACTGGGGTTTATGTGTATCCCAAACACATAAAAACTACACAGAGGAAGACGAAGGGGAACAGGTCGACAGATATTTGATGTCAGTGTTCTTCACCAACACTGAGCTGGTCAACCTGGGAAAGGTTTGAACCAGACCATTGTTTGAGCAATAATTGGTAATTATGAATTAAAACTTTTTCATAACAGCACAAAAGAAAAGAGTTCTACAGCAATTCTCTTTATGTAGTAGTAATATCACTGAAATTACAAAAGTATCGCTATAGCTACTTGAACTGATTAATGGTGCCTGTCAGTGAATAATAAATAGCAAGTTTACCATAAAATGCTACCAATATAATTTCACCATTCATATTCATTAATTCCTAGAATTTTAAGTGATGAAGAAAGAATTAATAAAGTTGCAATTATGTTACTAGCTATTTTTCCTAAACCATCTGCTTTTCAACAGATTATGCTGAGGCGATTCATGGGAAAAGTGGCCTGTCAGAAATCAAGTTTTCAATGAGGACAAAAATCAGTGCTTTGGTCAGCTTGGCCAGGAGGAACTCAACCACATAGAACAAATGAGACATTTCAACTTTTAAGAACTATTAATATGATTGTTTGTTGTAACTTTACAAGAGATATTCTATTAATGATTATTTTAGGAATGGTTATGTGAAATAGTTGTGAATACCAGAGAATAAAAGTGAGTATGCTAGTGTCAAAGCTGGAGAGAGTCATAGTCAATGCAGGGCACTCCCTGAAAGTCAGCATGAGAGTATATTTATTGCATTATTGTGTATTATATTGTAAAATAATAGTAACTACAGAAAGTATTTATATAATAGTAACTACAAGAAAATATTTTTGATGTAGTAAGTGCAAGAGAATATCTAGATGATAAATAGTAACTTCAAGAAAATACTTATATAATAGTAGCTAAAAGAAAATATTTATTCATATAATAGTAACGTAAAGAAAATTATTTATATTATAGTTACTTCAAAGGAATATTTATTTATATGATAATAACTACAAGAAAGCAGGTGATATATAATAGTAACTTCAAAGGAATACTCTATTAAAATAGAATTTCATTTAAACAACAGATCCAGTAAAGGTTAGGTTATGATTTTTTTTGATACCTTTTCATAATACATGAGAGGTTTATGAAGCTTTAAAAAGTTATACCTAACAAATACGATTTCTCCATTTTTCAGTACCTCAGAAAAGCATAACTTTTTTGTACCTTTTTAGTAACTAAATAAAGTTATAACTTTACTAGAACTTTTTCTGTACCTTTTCAGTATCTCAGAAAAGTATAACTTTTTTGTACTTTTTTAGTAACTAAATAAAGTTATAACTTTATTGTACCTTTTTACTAGAACTGTTTCTGTACCTTTTCAGTATCTCAGAAAAGCATAACTTTTTTGTACCTTTTTAGTAACTAAATAAAGTTATAACTTTATGATACCTTTTTCACTAGTGCTTTAGTGGCTAAATGTAACTTTTGTGTACCTTTTGTTTGCAAATAAAGTAATGATTGAACTGAACAAAGTGTTTGAGTGTAACTTTTTAATACCTTTTTGTAACTTTTTAGTACTAGATTGAAACTCTCTTCTCACAAGGTTCCAATCTAGCATCAAAAGTTATAACTTTTTTGTACCTAAATAGAAGTAACTTTTTTGTAACTTTTTTCGGTATGGGTGGAGTCCATCATAGTGGCTGGTTCATCTGGGGTATTACAAGGTCATCAGTACAATTTCTTATGCCCCAGGACGTCACTTCAAACATGCAGCACATATTAATATTTCTCTGACAACAGCTGCCTTTAGCAATGTGTCCTTATCTAACACTAGGTAGGACCTTATGAGAATGTCTAACTATTTATACACAACTTTCCCCTAGATATCAGTGTCTATTTAAAATTTAAACACACAACATCATGACAAAGGATCACAATTTGTGGTCATATTAGATATAAAGTTGAAGGTCATTCTCAGCCCAACCTAGAATAGAACGTATCTCAAGATCAAGATATCTGTTATAACAACAGTCAAACCTGCTTAAGAGACCACCTGAGTTTAGAGACCACTTTTAAAATTCTCCATTGCAGATAGTTTCATGTGAATTGAACCAGTGTACTGAGAGACCACCTGTAATTATAGAGACCTCTTTAATGGCTTCCTGAAGTGGTCTGTAGAAGCTGGATTGACTGTACATTTAAGGCATTTGTGATCTATGGACAGTGTTTCTATAGAAGCGTCTTCATCAACTCTTAAGAAAAGAACATTGCATATATTAAATATTATCTATGTAATAGGAGTGTAAGCTGTTATTTGTTTTGTTTTGTTTGTGCTTTACGTCCTAATAACAGCTATGGTCATTTAAGGACGTGACTGGTTTTGGTGGTGGAGGAAAGCCGGGTGTTCCCGGAGAAAAAACCACCGACCAACGGCCAGTACCTGGCGACTTCCCCACGTAGGTTTCGAACCTGCAACACAGTGGTGGAGGGCTAGTGATAGCAGAATGTCAGACACCTTAACCACTCGGCCACTGCAGCCCCAAGCTTTTACTTAAACAGTATATATAAGCCACTTACCTCCAAGGTGTCGACATCAAAATATTTGTTCTGTTGCCAGAGGTTCAATAACTGCAAATATAAAAAGAAGATTTCAATAATTAATTGTTCATTTAAACTAACTCGATTGTTTAATAGTAGTAAACATTATGGTAAAGGGTCCAGCATTCTTTGTTGTATCTATAAAAGAGAAGAGTTCTATTTTTTCTGACTTCGAGCTGTTTATCATAGGAATAGGTATAAAAAAGAAATTATAATAATTTGTATTCCTCAGAAATATCTGCGGATCCCTTGGTTGCTTATCCACTGTGTTCCTCAGGTACACTTTTGTAATGGTATCAGTCAGGTTAATTCATTTCTGTAACATTTCTTAGGACATTTTCAAAATGTTTTCCCTTTCTATAAAAGGCTTGCAACCTATTTGTATGACTGCAGTATATATAAATACCATAAATTTAACCGGTTTGTATGACTTCAGTATATTTAAATACCATAAATTGTACAGGAAGATAATGTTTTCAGGCCTGTTTACATTGGAAAAGTGTTGGTACTCTACATTACCTCAGAGTGTTGTTACTTTGAGGATATTTTCTAATCACAACTCCCAGAGGCATATAATGCTGATATATGATAAAAATACAGTTTAATCTCATTTAAATCTTGAGAGACAGGATGAGTTTTTCAATTCACACTCTCAAAGTAAATAGACCACAACAGAACCACTTTTCTGTCATACGGGTATCAAGGAAGTTACAAATACTCAGAACAAAACATGGTGAAATATAACTCTTGTGTTCATTATGTAACTTCAAAAGACTTATCAGTTTGAAAAAAAACAAGTTTTAAAATCCCTTTGAGCGACAAGGTATTACAGTAAGCCAGACAAGCTACGGGTTCGTTCAGGCTTGTTCGGATTGTCTCTGCGGCCACAGCTGTCTCATCTTTGTCTTTTATATGTAATCCTTTAATTTGAATTATTTTGTCCTACATCTCTGTATTATTACAGCAGCTAATGTGATTCTTCGACCTTGACCGCCAGACATATCAGTCTCACAACTCCTGATGATGATTTATATTATACATTGTGAATAGCAATAAAATATTGATGAAAACTTCTCTGTATGATGATTAAAATCATCAGGAAATTTTCTAGCAGTTTCTACCTCCTTATCATAAATATTACCACATCAGACAAGTTCAATTGAATGATATGTTACCATCATCAAAGAGGCATTTTTTTATTGTATCGGGAGAGGGGAAATAGTTCAGACATTCTGACAAGACAACATACTCTTTGCTACAGTAAACTGTCTTGTCCAGCTGCAGCAACCAACAAGATTACAAATTTTCTGAGCACTAATTTACCAGTGTGTTCATCAAGCAAGCTACATTTTGTATGTGTAATTGCTCTATGGACTGGCCGATCAGATAATCACTCAAATATCGCCAAATATCATTAAATCTTGTGGAAATAAAGTTGTTGCATTTGTGACTGCCAAATTTGGAAAGACACTGTGAAATATTGGAAAAGTGGTTATCTAGCAGGGAGAAAAATTTGAGTTGAAAATATGGGAGATTTTGTCTCCAACTAGGGGACAAGGCATGTATAACATAGAAAAACTCATATCAGTATTTAAAACAGAGATATGCAATACCTTCGTTTTGTATCTGGCTGAAAATATCTTTTTGCATAATTCAAAATTAATTTCAAAATCAAGAAATTATTTCTTGCTTAAAATCTATTTCAAACCAAGGATGTGGCACCAATAAGCCAGTTTTTGATAGAGTAGTCAATTGTAGAAACATTAGGCTGGTCTAGATTGTGTCCCTTACAGACCAGACAGCGCTGGATCACTTATAGAACTGGTAACCATTGGCAGATGGGTTTGTTTGTTTGTTTAGGCTAAAAATGGCACTTCAACACAAGATGGTCATTTTGGGCCTTAATTGCAAAAAAAACCTCAAAAGACTTTACACACATCAAAAGCACCTAAATGGTTAAAATATGTCAAAAGTTTATCATTGTATGTATACATGTAAGTGCACTGAGGTAGTGTAAATGATATATTCTATTATAAAGGCCTACTTCCAGTATGTACTTATACTTAATAATAGTTGTCACTAGGACTTGTTTCAAAATTTCTGTCATTGAGACTTGTTTAAAAAGTTCTTTTCTGTTTTGTACATTAAAATATTTATCCTGAACCTGTTTCATATCACTACATATGACCATGAAATGTTCAACTGAATGTTGACTAAATGGAGTACCACAAGCGATACAGTACGGTAGGTCTCTGCGCATGCCCTTAAGCAAGTGTGCCTGAATAATGGCAGTATGTCCCATTGACCTGCCAAAAAAGGACCTGCCAAAATGTAAACTCTTCCTGTGGTAATGACACTGTTTTCTTATTGAAAGCTAAATATTCTTCAGTGTGTTAATAATATTAGTACACTCTGTCCATTGTTGTTGCCATTCATGTTTTAAAGGAATCAATAATAAAAACAGATGTCTACCCTCCTTATCAGCCAATACGCATATTTGCTTTGAATTTATTCGAACTTTACCCTAGGGGTGAATGTCATGATGACCTAAATAAATTGCACTGCAAACCTTCTGAAAGTGATGCAGTATTGTTGATGTTTCATGAAAACATCTTTTAAACAGTTGTAAATTAATGGCCTGGACAAAAGTTTGCTGGAAATTTGGCACTTATTTGACCTTTGACCAAGATGCCTATGTCTAGGTGATCTCATTACAGTGAACTGCACACCTTCAGTGGGTTGGCCGATATACTTTAAGCTTCATCTACGTATCTTTTCGTGGTCACAAACAAACCCAAAAAATATTTCACAAATAATGTTGTACTTATTTGACCTTTGACCTTGAGGTGGTCACAGTGACCTTATTACAATTAACTGTATTGCTCAACTCCTAGGGTTGATGTAGGTGTACTTCTTTAAAAAAAATCCTTTAAGAATTTTTTATTGGTTTAAGAAGAGTTACATTTTGGACAAGATTACATAATAGAACAGGGACCAAAAGACGAACCAACATTATTATAATGTCTTCCACTGACATTTGAAGGGTGGATGAAATTACTGTAATAACTGTGATTGTAAGGAATATTTTTCCAGTTCGGTCAGATTATGAGGTAATAAATCTAGGTGAGTATAGATGTACCAGAAAACTGAATTATTTGGTGGCTTTTTAAATGTTGACCCATACAAAGTATGACGATTTGTAATGTACCACTTAGTAGAATTACATAATCTCCTTAACAGGTAACTTCATGTTCAGCTGTAGGTTAGATGTGTTCAGCTGTAGGTTAAGACACGTTCTGCCAGACCTCCACGTGTCTGCATGCAGAGCCAAAATACATGTAAGGTAGCTCACAGGTCACACGCAGTGCAGCCTGTGAGCTAGGTATGTACAATCGTCACTACTGCATTCCCTTACAGCAGCTACACATAAACTTTTTAAAAATATATACACACCTAAATAATAGTTGTGTCAACAATACATATATTTATAGCTTCTAGTGCTTGCTTGAATCTGATAACTAAGCAAAACACATAAAGCTTAGACATTTAATTTGAAATCAAGATTCATTTGTATAAGGTACTGTACAACACTGCTGAAAGCTACACCACCTGAACACTTATTTCTCAATCCTCTGAATGCCCGATACATGACATAAAAGTTATAGTAATCCTGGGAGTTGGATTAGCAGTTTAAGGGACTAGTTGGTGGTACCTGGCACTTGTATAGCTATGACAATCTTTCTAGCCTTGGTACCACACCTGTCTGTCTCACCTGACAGGGGGACCTATCGCCACCAACGGTATCCTCCCTTCATTAGTGCAGGGTCAACAGCAATCAAATCTTGTACTTAAAATGAGCTACGAACAATTTATTTTAATTCCAACACAATTCTGATCCAAATGTCATCGGTGACAGCTAACACTGATCTTGAATATGTATGAAGCTATTAATGGATCACTTTTTTCCATAAGGCTGGTAACAGGGACTCAAACCCAAACTCCAATCCCACAGATCTGATACTGTTTCATTTTATGATCTCCATGCATTGCCAAACGCTCAGATAAGATCACAGTTAATAAAACGATCTGGTGGACCAAGATCAAATAGACAACCATTATACTTATAGACCAAAGATAAACACACTGAAATGTGTGTAGACACACCAGGGTCAAACAAACAGAATTGTAAATAAATGGACCAATGTCAAACAAACAGAATTGTAAAAGAATGGATCAAGGTCAAACAAACAGAGTTGTAAATGAATGGACCAAGGTCAAACAAACAGAATTGTAAATGAAATGCAAAAATATGGACTAAGGTCAAAAAGATGATTACATTGTATTATACATAGATGGACCAAGGTCATACACACAGAAATGTGTGTCAAGGCACCAAGGTGAAACACGTAGAATTGTGAATGAAAGGACCAAGGTTGAACACAAATCGTGAATGAATAGACCAAGGTCAAACACAAATTGTGAATGAATGGCTCAAAGTTGAAACACAAATTGTGAATGAATAGACCAAGGTCAAACACAAATTGTGAATGAATGGACCAAGGTCAACCACACAGAATAGTTAATAAAAGGATCAAGGTCAAACATACAGAATTGTGAGTAAATGCACCAAGGTCAAATACATAATGAGAGTGGATGAACCAAGATTTTTTCTCCTTTCTAACATATACCAGTATATAGAGAGGTAAACTAAGGACAGATCGATATAGATAGGTAAACTAAGGACAGATCTATATAGAGAGGTAAATTAAGGTCAGATATATATAGAGAGGTAAACTAAGGTCAGATATATATAGAGAGGTAAACTAAGGACAGATCTATATAGAAAGGTAAACTAAGGACAGATCGATATAGAAAGGTAAACTAAGGACAGATCTATATAGAGAGGAAAATTAAGGTCAGATATATATAGAGAGGTAAACTAAGGACAGATCTATATAGAAAGGTAAACTAAGGACAGATCTATATAGAAAGGTTAACTAAGGACAGATCTATATAGAGGGGTAAACTAA